TAGCCTCGTCGTGAGACGTTCCACCGAAATACACCGGTGTTTCGAAAATAAATAAACACCGAAAAACATCCGCAAATTTTTCTCACAAATAAACACCGGACAGTACACACCCTACGTATAGGAAATGTCCTGCTAAATAACTATGGATCAACATATACTATTAAAATATATGCTCAGAGGTGTGTTTGTTTTTGAAATTAACAAGTTACAACAGTGAGCTTTAATGTCATTATCATGTGTGTAGTTTTAAGTATCCACTCTGCAATGCCTACGAAGGCCCCTGGAGGGAATAAATTAATAAATAACATTTTCACATCACTGTAGTTGGTTTTCGGATGCACCACGTGTTCAGGAGAGGTGGAACGAGTGCAGCTCCTTGCAACAAGTCTGCCAGCCTGGTACGTCCCATGAATTATTAGTGAAGGGTCAGAGATGCGAGTGTCCCCAAAAGGACCCTCGAGTGCAATGAACACAATTCTTGGTGTATAGACTCTCAAGGCGTAAAGGCAAGCGGAAATATGTTTATTTCTATTTGATTACATAATTATTGATTCTTAGTAAATGGTTCCATAACGAGCTCTTTCTGCGACAGTCTTCTGTCAGGCGTTCAGTCGTAGTACCTGGGGACCTTGTTGTCGGATGACGCTCCTGGCACGTCGGTGTTTAGCTTGGTCGAGTGGCAACTTTGACCGACTGATGCCGTCTTGTAATCATACGTCATGTGCAGCCACTGACATCTGATGCACTAAAGCCGCAGGGCTGGCTTCTAATCTGCAAATTTTCCTGGTAGTTTTCTGCATCAATGCAGCAAGCTCGGGCATGTATTGGTTGCGTGCCCGTGCCTTTTGCTGTACCGTTAACTTGATAACTGGCAACAATGTTTGTTTGCTATCCCAGCCATTTCACTTCCATTTCGTAATGGCGATTTATTCTGGATCCCGCGACCACTGCAACTTGCGTAAGTCTCGTGTGGCAAAGTGAAGTCTGGTGATGCTTGCAGTCCACTTTTGGGAGCAACGAACCATTCTATTTTTTTAAGTCACCCAGCGACATTCTCCCTCAAAGTTGGAAATTGTGCGCTTCGTGGCGTGGACACAGATAATTAGTGTCAGCAAATTATTAGGTATTGTCTTTGGATGACAACCGACACCAGATCAACGGTCCTTGCATTGCCGCTCACCTGCTTTGTCGTGCTTACCTCCCGTCCAGATAAAGTGGATCACGAGCTTCAGGGTAATGTTGGCACCAGGGACAAAGACCGCCAAAGATAATCCTCAATCTTTCGCGGACGCTCGTCGAGACATGGTCGAGGGTCGTTCGGCACGAACCCTTGCAGGCCAATTCATTTGTACGGGCACCTTCAGTAGACATGGTCGCCTCAGGCAATGATAGCACAGTGGTGTTTGGTCGGCAATTCGCAGCAGCTCCGTTTTCCTCGGTGTAATTTGTTTAGCGCGGATCTACACTGGTTCTTCCCGATGTCAGGAATGCTTCGGAGTTGGGGTGTCTCGTTGAATTGGCATTGAATAATAACAGGTAGCCGGTGGGGGTCGTTGTGACTTTATGGCATAAATCGCCCTCGGTTCGTCAGATGCCGCTTTGCTCGAAGAAGTCTCCAGTTGAAATGCCTGTCGAACTTCTTCCCAAAACAATCTCGGCAATCAAAATAAAAGCCGGGCAACAGGTGGCAGGAACTAGCTTCCTTATCTCCTCCCGTACACTGTTGTGGATGATGTCGCGAATGCCTGGGGGGCTGGCGTCAAAGTTGCAGCTGGACGACTCGAGAGTCGAGACGCTGGGGAGTTGTTGATATTGATAGGCTCGGGCCTGCAGTGTACATTCAATGTTGGAAGCCTCGGTGATATGAACCCTTCGACTGCTGTCGTGGGGTTGCGGACAAGCCTGCCGAAGGTGCTGTTCCTCAGATGAGGGACATGAGGTTCTTAGCTTCTTGTCTTCTGTAGCATCAGGGTTGGCGTGGGTGCTCGATCAGGCGCAAAATATCCTTCACAATGGTGGTGACGCTCTTGCTGGGGCCGTGTCCTGGACAGAATCAGGAATTCGGCTCTCTCTCGTCACTGTTGGCTGCTGAACTTGCACTTCAGCTAGGTCTTGCAAACTTCCGACGACGTTAAGGAGGATTCCTGGTTGTCAAACCAGTGCCTGGCAATTTCTTCCACGAGAAGTATAGGTTCTGCAGGAGCTGGTTGTCCACCTACCCACTGTTGCGGGTGACACGGTCATATGGTCATATTGTTCAATCCAGCCCCCGACGTCTTATGCCCCTTGCGTGAAAGGGCATCACAGTGCGAGGTGCGACAGCCATGCAAACAATGGTGGGAGCGGACACGGTTTGCTGCCACAGGTTTGTCCCTGTTGGCTTAGTCAGCTTTGGTTTTTCTGGCAAAAGACCTAATTCCAATGGTTCTTGCTGGTAGCAGCGACTGGCTTAGATTTCAGGTTCTTCGTGGTGTATTTCTGAGGTTCGTCCTTGTGGTACTCGCTCGTCTTGCGGTTTTTATGCGGGGCGGGGGTAGGGCTTGGTTTTCGGCTCGCCGGGGGTTTAAGACGCGGGATAGTGTGCCACCCGTGTCTTGTTATCGGGCAACTCGGCTGAGGAGTCGCCAGGGTACACACAGAGTAAAGGGCTATAGATAAAGTGCGCAGCACCTCCACTAGAACACACAATGACAGCTGAGCATGGCCTGGAACTTTCAAGAATAATAAATATTGATAGAAAATAGAACTGGAGCAAGCATCCGTGACAATATAACAAAACAGATAGAAGAAAGTCTATTATGACCACTAAAGAAGCTGCATTGCTTTAGTGGCATTCTGTCAGAATAAATCCTCTCCTTCGGGGTTTGGCGACTGCCGAGGATGAGCTGAACTGAAATGGATGTGGGACCACTTTTCTGGTAATGAGCCGCTGCAGACTGTCGTCGCAAAGCGGCATGAACGGGAGGACTGGGTAGGTAACACGCGCATTGAATTGTCCATACAGCTTGCGATTCGCGTAACGAGTGTTGATGAAACTTTGGTGTCGACGAAACGTGCGACAGACCAGCAGAATCAATACCAAAAGCAACACCTGTGTTCCGTGAAAGTACACGTCTACGCCAGAGCAATTTAGTAGGCAGCACAGCATCACCTGAAGTACGGCACAGGAACTGTACCAGCTTGAAGGCAGCTCTTCGGCGCGCCGCACACCTTGCTCCATGAAAGTGAACGTCTACGCCGGAACAATTTGGGAAGCAGCACACTATCATTTAGCACGGTGCGGGAACTACAAGCGTCAAGGCAGCTCTTCGATGCACCGCACAACCAAAGTGAGCCTTCGGTCATTTGAACGAAGTGGCACCACGATTGCACCCTGCCAAGCACGACTCATGCAATTTCCGTCGCTAAACTGTGTATCCAAATAAATTGCACACGCTTCACTGCAGGTCTTGAAGGTTCCGATGGTCAACGCGAGCACAGAAACGTTGCCTTAAAATTTATCCTAGCGGTGTCCGAATGAATCCGAGGTCCGAGCAACGTAGGGCCGATTGTCTCTCTCGTGGCAACATCCCCGTCGGTCACCAGCGAAATGCACACCGTTCCTCCGTATTTTCACGTTATACCTACGTCAGACACCACGCTGAACTCTGAAGTCGCTTTCGACCGGCCTCATATGACGGCTTCCGCGTCTGAAATCAACTCGCCGAGACGAACGGCAACCAACAAAGCTTCCGACATGCTCCGGCCCAGCTGGGGCCAGCCGCTGCATGGGCGCTGCCATATTTTCTGTGACGTCACGTATTTGGTTTGGCCATGTGACGAGTGGTCAAATTTGCGTACAATGGCAGCTGCCTTATGGGGGTCACTTTCGAGTGCAGACCGGAACCCCTGTTTATCGCTCTAAGCCCCTCTACCTCGTTGGTCGTGTCGCTACTCTGGCAGCTACGCTGCCATATAGAGTGGCTCTAGTATAGACGCTTTACACACGCGCCAAATTACAGCCGCCGTTGCTGACCTTCTCTTGTCTTACCGAGATGCCGAGCAACTGAAACGGTACTTGACGATCCTCTACAAAGGCCGATGCTTTAGAAAAGGACACAGTTGAGTCTAATATGGCAATAACCTGGCCTGCTATGGTAATGATGAAGTGATTTAAACGAAATAAGAGGAAACAAAAACTGAAGGTCAGTTATTGAGGCGTCCATGCACAGCTGCTGCAAAGCGTCTAGCCAGTAGGTGACACCAGCTATCACCTCATAATAAAACACGGAGCTATCGCTCATCCAGCCCTTGTCAAACTTTGCTAGGTACTTGTAGGTACCTAGTAGGGAAGGGCGGTTAACTTTTAACCACGGTTAAAGTTAACCGGCTTCGAGCAAACGGGCCCTGGTTAGCTCAGTTGATAAATTGCTCCACTGGAAGGGGGCGGATGTTTCCAGCACGCACCAGTCATTTAGTTCTTTTAGAGATTTGTGTATGTCCTTTGTCCCCCCTGTTCCCTTTCTGCATAAAATATTATCACTAATTTTGTCCAACTTTCCTGCACCTTTGCATTAATTACTTTAAGACCATCTTGTGTCATTGAAACTGGAACGAGAATACATTTTGTGTGTTGTCGTTCTACTTTCTGAGGAAACGGCTAGAGAAGCGGTGTTCTCTCTTATATATATCTTCAGTTTTATTCGTATTTAGAAGGTATTTAAGCTTTTTATTATTGGCTATTTCAGCCTCCGATTTCGAGTGATAGAGGAGTGTCCGAGGGATAATCGAAAACGGAGAACAAGGATGATCACGACGACTCGACACGTGGTACGATATTTTCACTCGATTGCCGTATTTCATCTATGGGTTATCCAACATTTTCTTGAAATACGGAAAAATAACGTTAAGGTAACATGTTACAATCTTAGAAATAGAACTGGAACACATTCTTTTCGAACCACTGGAATGAGTTTTCTTTGCTGTTTTGAAGGAACACTGCACTTCCTCAAAGGAGAATGACCTCAGGCGCTAGCGGCTTCTGCTGTGCCTCTTCTCAATGTTTGGGTCTGTCGTTAAGGGGTACATTCGAGAAGAAGCATATGGAAAACGCACATGTCAGTTTGTCGTCGCACATGACCTTGTCCAGTCTGTTTCTGAAGGGATAAGACTTCATGATGCAGCCACACTGGTCGAACGTCACGTTCGTCCGGCACTCTTCCATGCAGAGCTGCGGAGGAGAGTAAGACAAACACATAAACGTTACCCTGTCCGCTTCGATTGTTAGTCTTTTTTTTTTTTTTTGCGTGTTCAGAAAACTTTGAGGAACACAAAATCCCCATAAATTGTCGCAATATTACCTCTAAACGTTCGAATAACGTTAGCAACATTATACGAAATATAGCGCGCCTGCTTTCCCACAAAGCAATCGGGACAGCAAGTCGTTGCAATCTTCAGAGAGAGTTCGGCAAATGACGAGGTTAAAATGTAGCGAGGACATAATGTCGCGAAGAAAAAAAACAGCAAGGACACCACGCCGTTGGAGCACTCGCGGCAGTCAGTTGGAAGCCAAGCATCGAAGAAGGCGGACGTCTAGTCCCATAAATAAAGAACTTGCGAGCGAAAGACGCATGTTTTAATCCTTAGAGAGAAAAAACTAAAAGTCTTCATTGTGACATTGAGCATGATGTACTGGCACGTGCGTCGTGTCATAGCGCAGACTGTCTTCTTAAGTCTAAATATAGGGGCTATTCACTGGCGGCCATAGCTGTGTGCGCGAATGCTGAGCGCGTGCTGATGGTGAGCTTCCACAGTTCTTCTGCACCGTGCGTTCCGCACCATCAAGATTGCCGGTCTTAGCAGCCTATTGATGTGAGCTCTTTCTGAGCATGCGCTCTAAAGAGCACCCACAAATATGGCGTCCAGTGAATACTCCCTTAATTTCGAGCCTCGAGGTTCGGAGAGCTTTCGGAGATTTCGGCAATAGACCGATGTCACCAGCCGGTGTGACTACGCCACCGCTACCGCAGAGCATCGAGGGAAATTTATGGCGAATTCCACTGGGGGTTTTGGAGCGCGCCGGGATCAGTCGACCAGATCCGGATTGGAGCACAAGATCCGAACGGGGTCGCGCCGCCTACGGATCCCCAGTGGAACATGACCACTGCTCCGGGATCGGCGGATGCCTTCCCGTCATTCAACTGCCCGGCAATCCCCTTTTCGCGGCCGCCGCGGTCGTTTCGAAGACGTTTTCGCTACGCGGCGCTAACACGTGTTCGACGCACGAGTGGCAGGAATGGCTCAGGCGCTTCTAGCAAAGATCGCCGGAATGCCCGTAGCGCGGCAAATACCTTCTCTTTAACCATGTTCTTCTCTTCTTCCTGGAAAACGAACCGGCTGTCGAGCAAATGGGTAAGCAAGTGGCCATTACGAATTCTTCTGATCTCGAGACAATCTATTATAGGAGCCCAGCCCGCGACGTGCTTTTTCTTCTTCCGAGGCGAGATGCCCCACGAGAAAAGAAGTCACGTGTGTGCGCCGAGGGCTGGCCCGGCTGGCTTCCGGTTGAATCTGCCGAAATCGTGGGAGCGACTTTTCTCGTGGCGTTTTGGAGCGCGCCGGGATCGACCTTTCCGGAGCGAGCCTCTTTCACGGGCGATCGGGATCGAGACAAACGTGTTCCACTGGTCGTTTTGGATTACCTCCCGCTCCAGATCTCGATCTGGATCCGAGAAAAGTCGCTCCACCGATTTCGGCGGATTCAGCCGGAAGCCAGCCGGGCCAGCCCTCGGCGCACCCACGTGACTTCCTTTCTCGCGGGCATCTCGCCTGATCTCGCCTCAGAAGAAATGGTAATGGCCGCTTGCTTACTCCTTGGCTCGACAGCCGGTTCGTTTTCCAGGAAGGAGAAGAGAAGGGTTTTGCCGTGCTACGGGCATTCCGGCAATCTTTGCTAGACTCTCCTGAGCCATTCCTGCATGCCGCTCGTGCGTCGAACACGTGTTAGCGCCGCGATTGCGAAAACGTTGATGCTTGGAACTTGGAACCAGCCGCTACCAGACACCTGATTTGTTTAAAAAATACCCAGGACGTTTTGGGGCAATGAATCGATCACATAGCAGGCGGTAGACAAGTAGACAGCGTTGAAAAATATTTATTCCACCGATTGTTATGAAGGCCGATGGTGTCGGTGTCGCAGTTTTGAAGCACTGTCAGTTCAGCTCAACACCACGTTACAAAAGACGGTTTGGGGTACTGCCGGTGCTAACGCAATTTCACAGTAGAAATAGGAATTGCATAAAAGAACTGGACAGAATCACTTCACACGGTGGCGTAAATCCCGAACATATATCAGCGATGTCACTTTCCTCGGTTAGGGCTATCTGCTTTGTGAGCGAATGAAGAACATCTCGATAAAATAAAGAGCGGAAAATACTCCCCGTGTCAAGTTTTCTAATTACAGCCACTGGTTGATGTCGTACCGTGGTAATTCCCGGCCCTTCGAACGCACTAGCACTTTGTAGAGTCACATTTCCAGCGATTCCGCGGCGCACACGAACGAAGGTAAACAATCAAGATGGCGGAGTGTTCCCCACCCGGTGTCGTCCTCGCCGTCAGCACGGTGTGACAGGGTCGTCGGAAAACAAATCGGGCAACACTGTTGCCGGGCGGCAGCAACATGTTGCCCGACTGTTGTTGTTGCCGCGATGGGACAGGGTCGCCGGCAACACGACTTCCCCGTGTTGCCGGATAGAGTCGTCCAACTGTCCCCTCAGTGTGACAGGGCCTTTACCCCTTGGCTCGACAGACGGTTCGTTTTCCAGGAAGGAGAAGAGAAGGTTTTGGCCGCGCTACGGGCATTCCGGCAATGAAACACTTCTGCATTCCGGCAATCTTTGCTAGAAGCTCCTGAGCCATTCCTGCCGCTCGTGCGTCGAACACGTCTTAGCGCCGCGATTGCGAAAACGTCTTCGAAACGACCGCGGCGGCCGCGGAAAGGGGATTCCCCGGCAATTGAATGACATGAAGGCAAATGCCGATCCCAGAGCAGCGGTCATGTTCCACGGGGGATCCATCGCCGGCGCGACCCCCGTTCGGATTGTGAGCTCCATTTCGGATCTAGTCAACTGATCCCGGCGCGCTCCAAAACACCCAGTGGAATTCGCCATCGGATCCAGATCGAGATCTGGAGCGGGAGCTAATCCAAAACGACCAGTGAAACATGTCGGTCTCAATCCCGATCGCCCAGTGAAATAGGCTCGCTCCAGAAAAGTCGATCCCGGCGCGCTCCAAAACGACCAGTGGAATTCGCCATTAGTATTTCTGCACGCGCAATAGCCTCGCTGGAGCTCCACGCTTGTGGAGCACGAGACGGCAGGAGCCCTCGCATGCACGGTCGTCTGCTTCCCGCGAACTCAAGTTAGGGCGGTGTGAGGAATACGCCGAACGCTTAGTGAGATGCGTCTATTTTCTGTATCCAATGCTTTGCGGAAAAGTGGCCGCACCAGATTTTTTAAAGTGTTTATGGCGTGCAAGTAGGTTCGCTCCTCGCGCACCTGGTGAGTTTGTTTACACCCCAGAAGAGGCCACGTGCCCCCGACCTCAACCATTGACGTTGCGCTCATGGCTGCCTCGTCATCGCGCCTTCCCTGCGCCTTCTCTATGGGATTGGCGTACACCTCCACTCATACCGGTGCGTCGAAGAGCCATTGGGGAAAATTTGCTCGCCGTGTAGACCTTTCGAACGCTCATCATCCGGGCAAAAACCGCCCAGTCCGTGAGCTGTGGACGCATTCTGACATTCCGCGGAAGGAAGCTACTGCACACCCTCAGAAAGCCTTCCACAGCCCAGTGGAGACAAAAGGAGGGTGTCACCGAAAGCTTAAGGAAGGCAGGGCACTTCTTGCTTCTTGACTGGTCCTTCTCAGGCGCTTCTCATCACGCTGCTTCAAGACACAAAGCATAGACGCGAAATTTTATCCCGTTAAGGTGTATCCACACGACGGACCGGGCCGCGGACCGATTGATCACGTGATGCGCGGCCCGCGGGCCGCCCGGCTGCAATGAGCATCCACACGGCGGACCAAAAGAGCAGACGACAGAGTGAACGGGCCGGTCTAACCCTCGACCTCACAGCTCCGCCAAATGCATGCAGCGAGCTGCTTTGAGGCTATTTGTAAGGAGCGAAGATGGAGGTTGAACGAAAGAGACGTTTGGCCGCGGTGGTCCTGGTGTTGATTATTGAGGACGAGGAGGACTTAAGTGAACCGAAAAGGGCATGCATCTATTGTCCCACAGAGCGGGGAATCGCTCCACGAGCGCGATGAAGTAAAAAGTTGCATCGTCGCACCATGCCGCCATCGTCGTACAACAAAAGGTTCATCTTCTTCGTCTTCAACAGTTGGCGCCAAAAGAACACGACTTTGGATTTGGATTCCAATTCAAACAACAAAAGTCAGCTTGTTGCCAGACTTAGCACTTCAATCCCACTAAAAACGCCGCGGTCCGCCGCCAAGGTCCGGGCGAGAAAAGTCGCTTGGCATTTCTCAGAAGCGCGGGCCGCGGACCGCCGGCGGACCTCGCAAACCGGTGACGTGAGATCACGTGATGCGCGGCCCGCGGACAAAAACAGCAATTTGGTCCGTCGTGTGGATACACCTTTAGTGATCTCGATCCCTCCCAATAAAGTGATTTATTGCAGCTTATGTCCACAGGCATCCGACGCTCCTAGTTGATGGGACCAATAATATACCCCTACAAAAATATGTATGGACGTCCTATGCCCATACTTTTGCCGTTCTATTACCTCTTTGTCCATCCTATGGATTCTTGTAGACAGTTCTTAGACCGTCTATGTACCGCTGGTTTGCCACAGAATGGACACAACAACGCAATAGAGATCTTCGCGAAAGAAAAAGTTTTTCATTCCTTTCTATTTCCGTTCTATGGTCCCGGTGAGTCTATGGTCATCCTATTGCCTCTTTATGGTGTGAGCTATATATTGGTACATTAATAAAGTGATGCCGGGTAGACGTTTTTTTTACGTGTAGCGAGGTGTCCGAGTTAAAGAGTTGTTAATTAAGTTCCGGGTATCAATATGTTACATTGATGTCTGGAGGCATATCCAACCTCAGGGTATACTCGTTGTGGAGATGGAAGTGTTCAGTATGTGCGGGAATAATGTTTATACTTTCTCAGTGGGAGGTAGGTATATGTGGGTCGCTGCGGCCCCCGCATATATTCGCAACTTTCACAACCCATAGGGGGCGCACTGGTGCCTATCAAAATTGCGGTCATCTGGATGATCGTCGTTAAAAAGCGGTATACTAGGCTGGGTCTGCGCGCGACGCGTAAGTAATTGTAGTTTTGCTACATACGCGCAGTGTCAGAGACTTACTTTATGTTTTTTTTTTTCACGTCAGGAAAGTGTAGGCAAGTCATTTTATTATGAGGCCAATCATCCAGGAGCGAGGGAGTGCGATTCTCACACCGCGGTACCACCATCGCTTAAAGTGGCTTCTCGATGGACACCGTAGGGACTCCGTGCAGACCCTGTATGGCTTCTCTGCAGACTCCATAAGGAGCCCGTGTAGACCCCGTATGGCTTCCCTGTGGACCCTGTATGGCTTCCCTGTGAACCCCATAGGTACTCCCTATTGGCTAGGAGATCGAACTATAGGGGGCGCTCTGACCCGTTTGTTTTCCCCACGCTCGGTGTTTACTCAACACAAGGCCTGTGCACATGCCGACAGGCCTTATGGGCAGGTCCATGTCATCTTCTACAATAGAGCGCGGGGCACAGCTTAATGTAAAAAATACTAACAATCGACGAAGCGACGTTAAGTGCCGGATCTATCCTCGGAGAATGCGAGCTTGACCCACTTCGGCTTTTGTGCTTAGCTGGGACCGTGAATGCTGCATTGTTCATGCAGGCCGTAGTGGAAACAAAAGAGCCCCTCCTCCCCCTCACCGGAGAACACGAACTCCAGCCGAACGCTGACGCCGCGTTCGGTTATGTCGGCCGAGCGCTGCGTCATTGTATTTGTTGTCCCCATCCGTGTAGTTGTCAAGTTAACCGCTTGGAGCGTCACGGTCTGTCCTCCTCCCCAATAGACCTTGTATGGCTTCTTCGCAGACCCCTAAGGACCCTACGCTCTTTAAAATGACTTTTACAAAGCACGTTTTTTCGTAAAAACAAATGGTAAAAAGCTCTTTTTGTAGAAACCTTTTTTGGAGATCAGTACAAAATGACAAGAGCGTGATGTTTGCATACACTTTTAGCCTACATGGTTTTGCGGCACAATTAATATATTTTTTTTTTTTTTTGTACAGCCATGCCTCACCGGCGACTTCAGGTAGCGCGTCCCGACTTGGGTGCGTCCTAACTTCGGTGGCGATTCGCGGCACGTCCGCTTGGGAGACGGAGGTTGGCATTCTGAAACCCCTCTTCTACCGTACATGTTTCGGCGCCAAAGTGGCCGATTAAAGCCAAAGCAGAACAGTCACATGCTGTCGAATATCGATAGTCCCAAACCAACACACGCAGTCGTGCAGTTATCCGAGTGGCCGCTGCGGGTGGAATGGTGGCGTCGCGATCGCGATTAGTTTGGTTTTTGAGTACAGATCGGTGCCGCTTTTTCAGAGCAAGCTCTTTAGCAGTTTCCCAAATATTTTTAATGCGAAAGCATTAGTTGTCCAATGGAGCGAGCCGACGTCATGAGCTTTCAAACCGCGCCAAACGGCACCTTAAATACTTTCTCCAAGTGAATCCAGCTCCCAGCTATGAAACCACGCGAAAAGCCTATCCAAACGGCACCTATATACTTCGTCTCACCCTAAGATGGACTAAAGCCCAAAGCTACGGACTGCCGGAACCAATCACGATCCACTTAGAAATTGTGCGGTATTTCGCTTCAATGACCATATCGGTGCCCGCGCCTCGAATCACTGATGAGGGCACTGGTGGACAGTGGTTCGAATCGAAAATCACTGAGTGACTCAACAATTTTACATCGCAAAGAAAGCCACAACATATAGGCTCTTTGCAGCGTCAAAGCTATAGAAATGATGCGGCGCTTTTGGATTAGCGCATTCTTCGTCCACTCCTAGTCAATGTTAAGCGTGTTATAGTATAGCGTGGAACGTGATTGGACCTGGCGGCCCGTGGCTTTGGCCTTTAGTTCATCGTAGGATGAGACAAGGTATAGCACCACGAGTCACGACCGGTTTTATAGGGCGACCAGGTTACCCGAGGCAGCGCGAGCGCGCCGCATTTGCTTTTGCTTATTTAGTACTTTCGCTAGTTCGCTAAACCGCCACCGCGTTTTCTGGCGCTTTAGCTTAACACACTAGCACACGCTTTCGCGTGTGTATCTTTGTGTGTCCGCTCCACGACCGACGACGTTTTGAGGATAATCGGCTGTATTTTAAGGATTTTTCTCATCGTTATTGCGATTGTATGTTCGGTAAAGAGGTATACAAGCTCATCTAGATCGCATTCTTCTCTGGTAAAAAGATAAAAACTTCCTCTAAACTTCAACCAAATGCGCTACCACGCACATCACTGCCTCGCGCCAACCTTCGACCCCTCCAACACTTTTCCTGAGCCGAGTTGAGATCCCAAGAACAACGCATATCCACCTCCTAGGTGTCATCATCGACCAGCATTTCGATTTCCATCGCTATGTCCAAAAGGTTGTTTCCGGGGAAAGGTGACTCCTTGGCTTCGTCATTCGGTCTACAAGAAGAGCCAGTCCCGATCGGGCCAGATTGCTGTTCACAGCACTGGTGTCGCCCATCCTGGAGTTTTGCTGCTCGGTGTGGGATTCGGCGACCCGGCAACTTGCCGCTTCCCTTGAGTAGGTGCAACGTCGCGCTTCCTACTTTATTATGAGGCGCCAACTTGGCCCCCGAACACCATCCTATCGAGCACTGCACCTCCTCCATTCATTCGGCAGGGACCCGCTTTAAAATCGACGTCAAGTAGCGACCACGTGACTCCTAGCCACTTGTCTGCTACCGGACTCCTCGCTTCCTTTTGCCTCCTCCCTGCGGCGTACTCGCACTGGTGAACTGCAGCCCCTTTTAAACCGTACGCTTCGTCACTAGAACTCCTTCGCAACCCGTGCAGTGTAACTTTGGAGGTCCCCCCCCTCCTCCCCACGCCAGTCACCAGTTCACAACCAATCGACAGTGTCTCACTTCGAACATTCACCAAGAGCGTCACGCACACCTGCGAAGAACCTAACTCGATTTGTGTTCTCTCACAACTCACGGACACTTTTCATTTATGTACCGGCTTTTGTTATTTTTTTTTTTCTTTTCTTTTTCTGGCCTAGAGGCACTATGGACCCCTTGGTATGGGCTAAAGCCCGCTCACAGTTTCATTACCCTCCTGGGTTGAACCAATAAACAAACAAGCAGACAAACAACCTGTGATGTGGATAATCACTTTCCCTGAACCTTTGCCTCACGGTTGAAAGTGCACAGTCATGCAGGTATGAAATAGCTCCTGGCGAGTAGGCGTTTTTTTTTTCTTCTGAGGAACCTTTGGTTGGTGGCTTAGGTTCGAATTAATGCTGACGTCAGCCTCGTCCATGAAGCAGACAGACGGTCGCCCATCAACGGTAAGAAACCGCCGTTATCATCTGTGAGTTTGCCACTGCGGTCTCACCAACGGTAAGAAACCGCCGTTATCATCTGTGTGTTTGCCACTGTGGTCTCATCGAAAGGAGGAAATTTGGGAAAACATTTAAGATCGGTGATAGCTCGTGATAGGGCGACATGGCAGAAACAAATAAAAAATAACTCAGCATTGTTTATACAACGCTTTGGTCTTTTTGTTGCACTGCTAATCCGGTGCGGCTTTCTCGAAACAGCGCCTCAGTTGAGACCGATTTCAAAAAGCACTGTCAATGTTGGAATGCGCGAGAGCACGAGACGCGATTTAAGATTGAGGGCGTGATTGAGCGCTACCTTTGACAGCGCTTTTGGTGTTGAGCTAGGGCGGCGCCTAGCGGAACACCCGGTCCCTCCAAGCCGTTCACGTGATATTTCTTGGCCTGTGCGCTCCCATAGGGAAACGCGGAGTGATTTGGTCGCCCCTAATAAAGCCGGTCGTGACTAGGACTAGCACGCCTCCGGGTCTACGGAAGTGAAACAAAAGAAGACGGATTGGTGTACGTACTGCCTGGGTCATGTAGGCGTCGTAAAAGCGATGCTTGCCGAAGCTTCTGTAGTCCACGCACTTGGTGTCGTATGGAGCTGGAAGTGCCACGTTGCCTCTCTGCAACCAGATCGAGGCAGTTTCGATCACCGAGTCATGACTACTCCCCTCACCCAAAGTTCGTCCCCTCTCTAGGTGCATGCTTTCGCCTTCACGAGATTTCTAGTAAATACACGGTACTTCACCTAAGACAGACGTTTCTAAGGACAAAAAGAGCACTCCAGATAATGGAATTATTCCTTCGTTATGCCGTTATTCACCGTAGAGGACATTAAAACGCGAAAACTGATCACCTATATTCTAGTAATAAACCGTTTAAATATTCGCCCTAGCGGGCGTATTTGGATTGGAGATTTGTTGCCCGTTGTCAAAGAGCCCATAGCAATTGTTAGATTAGGCTGAAGTAAATTTCGCGCTGTTCCGTGGCGAAGTTAGATTTAAAAAGAAAGATTTAGGTACACGTAAGCATTCCTTATGAGTTGTGAATGCGAAAAGATGCAAGCCGCTTGTCCGCTCCCTTTTTCATCTGCTGCGCACTTTTCGTCGCTGGTCGGCGCGTGTGCTCCCCTGGTGACCTTGGACGCTCCGCGCTGAGGGACACGCAGCGCCATGGGGTGAGTATAGTCGTGGAAACTGACGAGCGCAGCGGCCAATAGGAGCCCAGTCGACGCGCGCCAGCCAATGGAACTGAAGGAAACTATCTGCCGTTTTCGCGCTTCAGACTGATGACGTCAGCTCGCTCCATGAGACAGTTAATGCTTTCGCATTAAAAAAAAAAGGCTGAAGTATGCGGCGCTCTGTTCAGTGGCAAATTTAAAGGGATTGTCCGATAAAATGTTGTCTTTCAAAAACAACTATATCACGTCATTGCTTTTAGGAATATAATCCGTGTAATATCCGCATTTTTCATTTTACGCCGCACAAGTAATCACATTTTAAGGAAAGCTCAGCTGCTTAGACTGCACCTGCAAAATAGAGAGCGTTTTTGTTGGCAACCGCGGAAGCTCTGACGTAACACCAGGAAAAGAGAGCCACCTCAGGTTCTGACTCCTGTCTCAGTAAAAGAACTTCGTTCTAAGAAAAACAGCATTTACGGATTTGAGGGAAGCTTAATTCGTCGAGGATAATCTTTGTATGCGCCATGAACCATGTTGATCAAAACCGGGAATAAGTCAACGCCCGCGACTCGGACGTTACCATTTCTCTTGTGACGTCACGACACGATCAGCCATGCACATTTGCGAAACTTGGCGTTATTTCATTTTGATGCTCATAATTTATTTAACAAATATTGGAGTGTCTTTTAATGAAATAAATATCACTATTACCATAGGAAAGGAGAGGACGTAACTCAAATCCCCAACCAGGACACCCCTAGCGGCAAAGAGATAATTTCCATCGGTAGGTACGTTTTAGCCGCTGGACTCAGATTACATTCGCTCAGGTCTTGCGCCACGGAAAAAAGCTTGCGGATTTTGTGAGGACCTTAAATCCCGCCCTAATAATGACAGGCACGCTAGGCCGGTGAAGTTTGTCAACACTGCTTTTTGACGAGTAGGCGGCTACAACCACTAGATGCAAGCGAACAATCTGAGAACTTACCATGATTATTTTAACCCGAGACTGGAGTGTCTTTTAATGAAACAAATACCACAGATCACTATAGGAAAGGAGTGAACATATTTCAAGCCCCGACTAGGGCGCCCCTAGCGCGTGACCTTGAAAAACAGGATGTTCGGTGCTTTTATGGTTGCTGTCACTGATCTCTATTGTAGTAGGCTGGATCGCGGAGCTCGGCCTCGGCAGCTAATGCCGAGTGTCATCACCGGCGGCCATTGATTAACACCACCAAATGCATGGGCCTCTATGAGGAAAAACAAGAAAAAGTGCCGTTCCCCCCCATTTATAAGCTGTTGTCGGCACTGAAACGTCTTGGCTGCTTTTCGATAAGCCCGTCAAATAGCTTGCGTACAAACACTATAACTGACAGCCCTCGCAGTTCTTATAAATAAATATTTTGTGGCCGAGAGCGACTCCGCTGGGTGAGAAATGTTGTGCAGCTCAATTAAACAAAAGTTACCTAGAGTTACCGCGGAGTCGGTGGTGGTTTCGTTGAGTGGGGTTTAGCAGACGACAAGCTCGAAGGCTTTGCTACGCGGAGTTCGCTCACTCCCGGAAAGCCGCTGTCGAGATGAAACCCCTTTGTCATTCTTCAACTTCTGGGCTTCCGCGAGGACGGTCTCATGGACGGCAAGTTTCTTTGTTTACTCCACTACGAGAGCAAGCTTGCCAGCTCTGCCCATTCAGCCGTAGGTGCTCCGGTACGTTTGATCTTTTTTTTTAATCGGCGTCCGAACGTTTGACCAAGTACCGATTCGATCTCCAAACGCCCGACATGAGAATCGCAGCACACTATAAAATACTCGCCTTCGAGCACAGCGTACATGCTTCATTATTTTTACTTTTGTGCGTTTCTCCTATAGACTTGCGTGTACTGCCTGGTGTCAAGCAATGGCCGCCGGTGGCGACACCGACAGGCTGCCGATCCACGGTCCAGCATACTACGATAAAGATCAGTGGTGGCTGTAGTTTTGTATATAAGGAGGTTGGTTGATTAAATGTATTACCCGAGCTGGAGACGCTGTCTACCCCTGTTACTTTCCCTTCAACTGTAAAACACATTCCTCCTTCTGCCCCAGTCTCGGGTTAAAATAATCATGGTAAACGTCTAGCAGCTGGAATGCTCACTGGCCATAATTTCGTTACTTAGAGAGCCTCTATTAAATAATTTGTAGCTCCTCGATCAAGGTCCCGTGGTTTCTGGGCTGCGTTTGCAGTACGAGCTCCAGGTGACGAAGGCGTTGGTCATCCATTGGCAGCGGTGGCGGCAGAGGGAACGCAAGACTAAATCTACCGATATACATTCCAGGCCGCTTTTCATCGACTGAGGGCTGGTGTTGGACGACAACGACGCTGCAGTTTCCAGGCTGCTTTTCATCGACTGAGGGCACGTGTTGGACGACAACAACGCTGCAGTTTCCATCCAGCCCTGGACACAACGAACAACACGCCGCAAGGGGACCGCCGATAAAAAGGACTGCGTTCCAACGACTCGGCACATTGGCAGCGGTGGCGGCAGAGGGAACGCAAGACTAAATCTACCGATATACATTCCAGGTTGGATATCACTGTTTACTATTACATTTCGTGTTCAACTGAGCTGTTTTGTTGCTGCTGCTGCCACATTGTAAATTTCTGAGCTTTCAATCCTGTCTTTTTGTGCAGTTATATCACAGCGTTGTTTTTAGCCAATAGAAGTGTTTTGTGCTATGGCTGACGGCTGTGTGTGTTGTGATGAGCCGTATGACAAGGATAATGTAATGCAATGCACAGAATGCACTTATTCTTATCACCTGGGAGCTTGTTCCGGTGTCTCCGAATCGACATTTAAAACAAAAGGTGCTACTTGGCATAATTCGTGGCGCTGCCAAACGTGTAGAACAGCCAAGTTAAGGAGCAGCCAAAGCAAGCCAGAGCCAAAACAAAAGTCAGAGAAGATCGACGTGACCACCATACTCGTTGGCGTAAACGAAAAACTAGAGTTTCTAATGGGGTCAAAAGAGTCTGTCACGGCTCTTGAACAGTCTGTAAGCATGATGTCGGCAAAATATGACGAAGTTCTCAAGCATATGCGTCAGCACGACGGTGACATAAAAAGTTTGAAAAACAGAGTAACAAGTATCGAAAACCGTGAAAGGGAGACAAATGCGCCACAGATCGCCCAAGACATGAATGCGCTAGAGTGGCAAACCAGAAAAATGAACCTTGAAGTGCATGGAATCCCGGTTTCTGAGCATGAAGATTTGATGGGAAAGCTGAACCTGGTGGCAGAAAAACTGGAGGTGCCCGTACTAGCAGAAACTGATATTGCAGCCTTGCACAGATTGCCAGCTCGACCCGATAAAGTACCTTGTATAATCGTTCGTTTCGCAAGACAGGCCACACGCGATCAGTGGCTTGACAAAAGAAGGAAACTTAATCGCACAGATGAGGACTGTTATATCCTCGAGAACATGACAAGACAAGACCGTGCTCTGCTCTCAGGAACAAAGGAATGGGCGAAGGAAAATGGCTACCGGTATTCATGGCACCGAAATGGAAAAATTTTTTTGAGGCGGAGGGACGGAGAAAGAGTGATTCTTGTGAAATGCGAGATGGACTTGCAAACCTTGAAGTGAACTATGCTACTGTTCCTGCCAGTTGCTTATCCTTAACGTACTTATGTCAGAACAAAACCTGTTTACTGCTTCTGAGCTGAAGGCTCACCTTGAAAAAGACCACTGCAAATCGTTCAATTGTTTTCATTTAAATACGCGATCTGCTCGAAATAAAACTGTTGAGCTTGGTCTCCTCTTTGACGAATTCAATTTTTTATTTGATGTTATTATGTTTACGGAAACGTGGCATTCTAATGAAAGTGACGTTTTCAGTCTACCGGACTATAATGGATACTATTTGAACAGAACAATTGGACGCGGGGGGGGGGGGGGTGTCATTAATGCTGAGAAATAATATGTGTGGTGAAAAAATAGAAGAGTACTCATGTGTCAGTCGAGATTACGAAGTGCTGTCCTTGCTGGTTGATAAAATTATTATCTCCGTAATCTATAGGCCGCCGGATGGAAACGTGGTATCTTTCTTTCATTTTTTAGAAACTTACTTTAGATTTGCAACCGAGAATGGATATGATATTATTTTGGGAGGAGATCTTAATCTTAACATGCTGCAGGATATACCTAATAAAATACAACTAGAACTGTTACTAAACAGTAGTGGTTGTATAAACGTAATTACATCGCCTACACGAATCACGACAGAATCCTCAACATTACTCGACTTATTTATAACAAATTTTGACTTAGCTAATCTAAAATCGGGGATAATTAGCACGGACATCAGTGACCATCAGGGTATATTTCTTTCTGTGGAGAAAAGAAAAGCCAAAACTACGAGGAACCAATTTCGTGGATCCTTTCAGAATATTACAGAAAGCAGCCTTT